TACTTGTGTAAGATGCATTGGAGTCCTTTTTCTTCTTTGGATTATGTTTTTGTATTTACGAATGAAGTTTTATTTGTGTTTCTCTATTTGAAGTGAAACTAAGTATTGCTTCTTAGTTTTTTGCCTGGAGGTATTGAAAGTTAAATATACAGTATATCCATATCTTTCTCCTAATCCATGATTATACTATTTCAGAATGTCTTCCATGTATCATATGATTTTTGTTTGATTATTTCTTTTTTAATGTGATTTCTTTCTCATATTTTCTTTCAAGAGATGAAAAGGCAGCCATACCTACTGACCTCACCAATATAGTTAGATAGAACTACAGTCTATCACCTGTTCTGTTTCAAGTGTTCTTATTTTCTTAGAAAGCTGTCTGGATATAATTCCTTTACAAAAAATTACTCCACATTTTAAAGGACTGAATCCACAAGCTTATGTTGCTCTTGTACCACGATGTGCATACTCTCTAACAAGAGGGGGACAGTTCTTGTAGGCCCTTTCCAACTTCACTTTTCTATGATTCTCATAGGCTGGGAGCAGAAACTGGAAGCAACAGTCCTCGACTTACTGGGCAGTTGTGTTTGTCTCCCAATGGTGGCCTGTGGGGCAAGGGCCATGTATGGCAGTGGCCATTTTGGGGCTGATGACTTTCCTCCCATGATGCACTGCAGGAGACACAGTGCAGTGTGAGACACCTACCCAGACAATTATGGGGTGGTAGTGGATATCTTCTCCCACAGGTGGCCTAAACTGCTGGATTCAGTCCAGGCTGCCTGTGAGAATAAAAATGGATGCTGGCCTTGTTGCAGCCATTCCAGTTTTGCAGACTTTCTCCCACCCACCCTCTCTTTGTTCATTTGATGTTATTAAAAGCAAATAAAACAATTGTGTTTCTTTCACAGCTTTGTTGGGGGCGGTTGGAGACATGAGGTTGAATCTGGTCAGGTGGGGGATAGGGTCAGGCAGGTGTTTGATCCTCCCTAGTGGATCCCCTTTCAGAGGGTGAAGCAGAGATATATTGCAGGGCTCATCTTGGGAGACCATGAACTCTCCACTCTAAAGTTGCTAGAAGGGGCCACATGTGGTCAACTCATTTCTGGTTATCTTGGTTACATATCATTTGGCAGACGGGTCAATTGATGTTCATCTGTTCTCCATGCTAGCACCAGTAATCTCGGCAGCTGTTACCAATAAAGTTGTGTCCTGCTTTATTTCCAGTACTCAGGTGTCTTGTGGTTATTTCATACCAACCCAAGATCAAAGCCTAATGGCTTGGGCAACAAATGCCCTTTCTTGTGTCCTTACTAGAAATCTCTGGAAGCGCAATGAGACCGAGACAGAACCCTCCCCTGAAGATTTCAGAAGGCATGGAGGATTATCCTGGGAAGAGATGGTCCTCCAAACAGCTCATCTAAGCTATCTAGGTTTTATATATCATAATCAGCACTTGGGTCTAGAAATGGATTGGCGTGCCAGTGGAGCTGTTGTAACAAGAGAATTATATGATCCTTGTAACCAACCCCTGCCAACAGTTTGGCTACAGTTTTTTGAACTGATGTTTCTGATCAGTCTTCAAAGGCACCCCCACATAAAGTCTGTTACAGTAATCTAAGTGGGATCTAACTGAGGCAAGTGTTTCCATAGTCCAATCAGATATTTCTAGACAGGGGCACATTTGGTGCAGCAGCTTTACCTGTGCAAATGCACTCCTGGCCACCACTGACACCTGAGCAGCGAGGCTCAGGGGTGAATCCAGGAGTACACCTAAGCTGCAAACCTGAGGTTTTAGGGGGAATGTGAACCCCTCCAAGACAAGCTGATTCTCTATTCCCTTATCAATCTTTCAAGTAATGAGGAATATTCTGCTTGCTGTGCATTGATTAAGTTTCAATTTGTTCACCTTCATCCAATTCATTATTGACTACTGGCACTGGTTTTGAACTGAGAGTTTCTTTACAATTAAATGGAAAGGCATGTCCTCAGCATATCAGTGGCACTGAACTCCAAAACTCTGGAAACCAATTTAGTTAGCTAGAACTACAATCTATCACCTGTTCTGTTTCAAGTGTTCTTATTTGATTCCCAGTGGTTTCATAGGTCACATGTTAAATAGCCTCAGGAACAAAATGGACTGCACAGGCCAAAGGCCAAGGTGTTGTATAGGAGTACCCCAGCACTACCTTCTGAATTCATTCCTCCAGGCAGGATTGGAGACACTTTAAGACAGTGTCTCTGAATTCTAACAACAGGAGGATACGATGGTTAAAAGTACCAAAAGACACTGAGAGAACCAGCAGAACCAACAGGGGCACTCTTCCGTTTCTAAAGTAGATGATACCGAGGAAGCCAAAGTCATCTCAGGGGACATCTACATTAGGATTTATCCCCCATTTGTCCCTACATGTTGTACAACTCATAGTGAGTTGTACACGTGGCCTTAAGTATTTTTTTCAGTGCTTTTTAGGTTGCTGGCATGATATGATTAAGACTGCCTTGCTTTAGTTCATTTTCAGGCATGTGTAGTCACCTATTTCATTCCTAAGCAGAGCGGGGCTGCCCCAAGTGACATCTTCAAGTCAGTTTGACATAGAATAACAGTGTAGAGGAGGACACCCCCTCCTCTTCTATTGTTTCTTTTCTGAAATAGCTCTTCAAAATAGGTTTTAAGATATGTCCTATGCCAGCTCAGTGATTAACCTGAGTGAAAGGGAGAGAAAAGGAGAGGGAGAGAGCATCTTGTTCTACCACTTCCTCTCTCCTCCCCAAGTATCAATGAAGGCTAGAAGGAAGACTTCCCTTCCTTTCCTCAGATGGAGCTGCGCAGGGAAGTGGGAAGCTGACATCGCCTGTGCTGTGCTCTCTCTCTCTCTCTCTCTCTCTCTCTCTCTCTCTCTCTCTCTCTCTCTCTCTCTCTCTCTCTCTCTCTCTCTCTCTCTCTCTCTCTCTCTCTCTCTCTCTCTCTCTCTCTCTCTCTCTCTCTCTCTCTCTCTCTCACACACACACACACACAGAGAGAGAGAGAGAGAAAGCATGCATGCTTCGGGAAGAAGGAGCTCCAAAAACTGAGGGAAAATCTTGTTGGCTGGCTGGCTCGCTAACAGACTGGCTGCTGCTGCACTTGCACCTGAAGAGGGTGCTGGTGTGAATGGGGGGGACATAACATCTGGAAGCTCTTCTTGGAGCTTCTTTTAAGGGGAAAGGGGAGAGGAGGTTTGTTTATCTTTGCTAGTGGCAGTGGTCCATCAGAGTAAACATCTCTACTGTTGTGGCTGCTCCAATCTCTTTTCCTTCCTTCCTTCCTTCCTTCCTTCCTTCCTTCCTCCAATGTGAGAGAGAGAGACACTATTTCTCTCTTAAGGCAGCCTTAAAATGCAGACTTGGCAAGTGGATGCCGGTTATTTTTGGAAGAGTGAATCCTTTATTTTCCAGTTTTGTGTGTGAACAGGAGGATCACTTCCAATGCAAGCAACCCTTTGGAGCCCTATTGATTCCCAGATAGTTTTGCTGTCTGGCTGCCTTCTCGGTCCCATAACCAGACCTGAAAAGAGACTGAAATAGATCTAGAACCCCTGAAGCTGAGAAGCCACCTCCTTCTCTGATACCTTGCCCCCCAAAAATGGAATGTTGGAAACTGGCCAATACAGTGGGGTTCACAGACAGCTTACAGGTCTTACAACTGCCTCTTCACCACTCCCCTCACCCACCTGAGAAGTTCTTCCTTCCCCTCCCCCATCTCCCCAAACTGTTTTTAAGATCCAAGAATGATCTGCTACATGAGTGAGACCAGATATCTCTTGGGAGAGATCCATCATTCTCACAGAGGACATGAAGTCCTGAGCTGCCCCGTATAATGTGGCCTCGGCAGGGATATTGAAGTCCTACAGTGGTTAGCTCAAGAAGGGAAACTCCTGTACAGTGGGTGGGTGGCAAACCAACAGAATCCCTTTTCGTTTCCAGGCAGAACAAAACATTCCAACCCAGGAAAATGTATGAGACATGGGACTATGCTAGTAACAAGTTTAGTGTATTTCAAAATAGCCATAGTTTTGGAAGGCACCATTTTATTCAACAAAACTATATAATAAATAATATTGTAATATTAAGTAAAGACAGTAAATAAATATAATTAAATAAAGACAATAAATAACTGCAAGTATTCATGTTGACCAACAAGATAAATAAAAATTCAGTTTTCTAAGGCATAAATAACATGTTCAGAGTGTCATTAAAACCTGGAAAAATATTGTACAGTCCATTTTTAACATTGTTCCTTTTAAGAATAATCTGGCTTGATACATCACAGGAGATCTGCCATCAATGACCAGCCAAGATCTTCGTGAGGCTTGTGCTTTCCATTTTCCAAGCATCTCATCTCTGTAGCAAAACTATTGGGTAGCTGATGAAGTGGAATGGTAAATAGCTGCATCTTGCTTTCTAGATTCAGGATAGAGGAGTTCTGGTGAAATTGGAATAGTTTCTGTTCTCTGTCACATCACAGTTTCACTCAGTCCATGTGTCCGAGTGTGCGTTAAGCTGTAAGGATGAAGATAAGCAGTTAGATTTGTCTTTTCAATCACAGCTAGTGCCTTTTTTATTTTCTAAAAGTTGAGCATACCGAAGTACAAGAATGTAGAGCTTCAAAGAAGACTCCTCAGAAGATTCAGAAGCTTTTTCTACGTTTATTTTTACTAAGACATTTTAAAAACAATTTTGTTTGCTAGCAAGTTATAGTAAGATATATGTATATAATCCAAAATTCTGTTGCTCAGTGTAACAAATCACACTACAGTAACCCATTGAATTGATGGGGTTGTTTAGTCCATTCCTCAACAATCTCATTGATTCAGTGGGTTACTCTAGCAGTACAGTAAGATGCAGGTTGAATCAATGGAACTGAAGGATTTGACTCAACAAATCCTCATGGATTTAATGGGCTTACTCTAGTGCAATTTGCTACCCTAAGCAACAGGACTTTGATCATAGTATGTCAATAGTTATGAAATTTGTCTTTCCCTACCTTCATTTGGGATTCTTTGGATGAATTGATTTATCTGGACAAAGCACTGCTTGACTTGGATCCAGACAATCTCCCAGGCACACTGGCTGTACTCTTTCTCTTTCAGGAGGCCACTGAGCTTTTGGAAGTATCTTTTCACTCTCAGTCTGGTGAGCTGCACTTGCTGACTCCTTGGAGATGCATTCAGACATCTTTCCATGTTCTGTATTTGCTGATCCAGTCCAGCCAGGAAAGCGCTAATAGAATTCTCATCCCAAGACAATTCACTGTGATTTTGTGTGAAGATGCGGCTTGTCTGCTGAAGTATTTCTTGTATGGTGACCCGGGCGTTCTCTTCATCAAAGACACCAATGTTTGTGAGGCTTTCTTCATTGAGTGAGAAGTTGAGGACATCATCTATGCATTGTACGGGAATGGAGGACTGAGGTTTGTTGTTCAGAAGTTCTAGGTTGTTCTTGTTAGCTTCCTGTAATCTGCTGTGAAGGTTACATCCCTGAGATGAAATTTCATTGGAAAAGGCCATCAATAGGCAAATGCGTAGAAACCAAACCTTGGAAATCATGCTGGAGAGAAACAAATGTGAGGGTTTTTGGAGTGGAAGATCTGGATGATGATGTCTTCTGGAAGGTACCCTGGAGCGTGTTGCATCTTGGAGATGTGTCTTTGTATTTAAAGATTCAGAGATATTTTCTTTTTTCCCCTTTTCAGTTTAAAGTATTTTCCAATCAGGAGGGAAAACACCCAGTTTCACTTTATTTCTTCCACCATATTATATAGAAAGAAAGATATTATTTTGCCAGAGAAGCCTATATTTGGAGAACTTACTTTTGGTTTGAGGTATAGCACCAAGTGCCCGAGTAAAATGAAAAGTGATATTCAAAAATGCTTTTATTTATTTATTTGCTAACAGTGAAAACCAGAATCCTTTGACAATATTACCCTGCTCTTCTCTAATTTATTTCACCATATCAAAACAATGCACTCCTGGGTTTGTTTCGGTGTCTCAGCCAAGAGTAAACAGGCACTTCAGTCTATGTCTGCTTCCATACAGGACAACTTCAACAGACATTGATGGGATGCAAATGGCTGGTTCAGGTATTGCATATTGCTTGGTGACTCAATTCTTGGTGAATGGCTTCCAGGAAGTCAAGAAATCCACAAGGCTAGGCACTTAGGATCAATACATGCACCATTCAATGTAGAACTGTCACCACAACCACAAAAACCACAAACACCTGGTAGTGAATCAAGACAAGATGTGGTTTTAGTGCCACAAGTCGTCTGAGCCAAAAAGCCCAGACAGTTGGTTCAAGAGAGTTTTATATTTTATTAAAGATAGTAAAAAGATAAAAAGTTTTAAAGAGCATTTGGAGCAAAAAAATACAGTTGAGGCAAAGCTAAAGCAATTAAGAAACATACTAAAAATAGCAAAGGTAAATACTCCATATGTTAATGCTCACACATAAGCATAGAAGCAGCATAGTTCTGAAGCATACAGAGAGTACATCCTTCAAAGCATGGCAAGAAAGTCACGTGCAGATATTCTGATTGTATATAATGAATTTGTGAGTATGGTGTATGTGTGTGTGTGGTTGTCTTAGGCCAGTGTGTATGTAACTTAGCTTTGCATAACTTTATGGCTGTGGAGTTCTCACTCCATAATAATTGGAAATCCCAGCTCTAGATTTTGTACTGTCGCAGCTTCATTCCAAATAAGTCTCAAGTCTGTAGCATCTTTGGTAAACTTTTAAAGCATCTTCTGCTTTTCAGTTCTGTCCCAATTATCACTGGATAACTGTGCTATGGGTGTAGTTGTAGAAGGGGTAGCCACACTGTGGCCTGTGCAAGCATTATAGGTAAAACCAAAATAGAAATAAAAAGTTTTGAAAAGAGACAAAAGCATCGTGGCACCTTAAAGACTAACCTTTATATTTTCTAATGTGATCTTTTGTGGACAAGTCCACTCCATCAGACATAACAGCTTATGTGTTATCGGCAGTGGTGTAGTGGGGCCATGACTAGCGGGTTGAAGCCCTGGGATCCTCTGATGAGCAAGAACTGTAACATCACTTGCTACCTTGTCAGGTTCCACTGTTCCTTCTCAGTTTAGCTATAATCTTCATGATAGCTAAACAGAAATAGAGTTTTCCTCAAGGGCAGTATATTATTGCAAAGTCTCTGTCTGTCTCTTATGTGTATGTGTGTGTGTGAGAGAGATTTTGGATCTCAACATAATATTGCAAAGGGGTCAGGGATCCTGCATCCTTCACCCCCTTTGTATTATATATCTCTTCATCATTCTCCAGTAGAGATGTGAAGTATACCTGAAAAATTTCTCCTTCTTGGTGTTTTTCCAAGTCTTACCATGCCAAGACTTCTTGCCAAGGTTTCTAGCCTGCATCACCAAAATGTGATGGCTTCTGCAAAAAAGGAGACCATGGTATAATCTCTCCCCTCCCCAGCATTTATTTTTATTTTTCACCTTTTTTGCAAGAAATGGCCAAATTCTGTACAGCTGTATGCTCTTTTCTTAGAATTTTGTGCAGGAAATATACTATTTTTTTCAGGAACTGTAATGATTTTCCACAGATGGGTGTTTCCTCTGGGAAAAAAGGGCCACAAAAATGTCCAAAAAAGTATGCAAGAATTCTCAGACACCTCTCTCCCTCTCAAGTCAACTCAAACCCTTCTCCGGGTTTTTAAAGCAGAGAGTACTTTGAATTGGTTTACCCTTCTCTTCTTCTGGGGGCACTCTGGGACTCTTCAGGTTGCCCAAGACCACACAGTCTGGCTCTTCTGGGATGCACAGCGGGGACCTGAACTCCCAACCTCTACCTAAACCACTGAGCTATCCAGCCACCACCTCATAAATAAGGTCAGTGCGAGAATGCTGAACATTGATGTGGGAATTTCGCAGAAATGTCTCCTTTTACAAATTTCTTTTCAAAGGGACTTTTCCCTTTCAAATTGAAGAACAGGTACAATACTCCTGGAAGAAATTTTCAGCATAGTATTAGTTTAAATCCTGTATGTTTGAAGGGGTTGACTGGTTGGAGAAGTTACCTCAACAACTGCTCGCACTAGAAAGAAAGCTGGAGCACTGCTGAATACAGGCAGCTGGAACCATCCTGTGATAAGGGTCTCCTTCTGCTTAATTGCAATGAAGGGGAAGAGGCTTTGGACTGAACGAGTCCCAATTATGTTGGGAAGGTTTGTTCTACTCTGGACGTTTCTTGCCTTTGCTTTAGCTCTCCCCCCCCCCAGGAAAGACTTCTTTTCATCATGCATTACTGTGTGCTTGCCTGCCCTCTGCTGGAGGTTTATAAGAGGCACACTGTTCTTCTGCTAGCGAAGAAACAGAATCCTATCTTCCCTGGTCTCTTAGGAAGCAATCTTTCAAAAAAGCAAGCATCATCCAGAAGGCTATATGTAAAATGAGGGGTGTGTGGGAAGAGCCTCAGAATGTGACTCATAAAAGCAGAACCCTGCAAATGCAAGCCTCAAAAAGCTAATCATGGACGATGAGGATGATGATAATGATAATTAATGAAAAATGATTTTTAAAACCTATTTAACTACGTAAGTGGATACTTGTGACATGCGATTATTTTATTGACCTTGTGTGTTGCCTCTCCTCTCTTGAAATCTGCAGAGCAGGCCATATATCCCAACAATGCTAGCGAGGCAGATAATGGCCATTAAGTGACCAGGCAGCTCTTGTTCTTTATGTCTTGATTTAGAAGACTACACCCACTTTATGTTGCATTCCTGGCTGTTCTCTTTTGATATTTGGGATGTTTGTGAAGATCAGGCCTTCTTGGTTGAGGAACATTTTAGGAGTTCAGGAGGTGTGTTTATAACACCCTATTCTTGCTCCTGTTGCTATCCTGTAGTTTTCATATAAGGTAGGCTTTAGACAGTTATTTTAAATACATTTGTCAGGAATGTGTTTCCTTAGCCTGGTGGCTAAGGCACTTTCTTTAGGCACTCTCGCCCTTGTACCCAAGAATCACATGTGAGTAAAATATAAAATATTTATTCAAAAGCGTAAAAAGTTATAAAACAAAAGTAATACAAGAAGATACAATTGTACTGGTTAAATGCCAAGCATTTAAGTATTAAGTAAGCTTCTGTAAGACTTTCTGTAAGATGAACTAGCTAATAGTTTTACTACTTATGGCTAGACTATTCTAAGTCACCATGGCTAAAATCTCCCAATCAATCTACGAAGACTTTAAACCTGTCATCCATCTTCTCTCCTCCAACTTAGACACACACAGACAGGCACCTACTTAACCTCATTTCCTATAACTTAAATCAAAGGCTCTGCTTCATGATGGTATCCAACCAGCATAAAGTTCTTTGTTCGCAAATCCACGCCCAACTTGTAACTTTCCACAGCTTCCGTCTCTCATTCCTGGGCTGGTAGGCCATTAGCAAAGAATATTATGTTTATCAGTCTTGAGATGTGGCCTTGGCTCTTCTTCCACAGCAACAGCTAGGTCTCCGGCAGAGGTGAAACACCTGCAAGTCCTGGGAAACAAGTACTACAAAACCCATATCCTCACAATATTTCTGATTGCATGCTATCCTGTAGATGTAATGGGAGTATACAAGTTTAAATGAAGCAATGCGACAGCTAGGCTATGGGATACCCTGTGGTCCAAATTGGGGAGGAGGCAACAAATATGTCTCATCCCTACTGAACCAGGTCACTTGAGCCATGGACCAAATTTCAGGTTTCTATCTGTTGTGGAAAATTACCATGACAAGCTTACGTCCTCTTCTCAGTGCATGAGCCAATGAGATGGCAGTTAGGGTTTCCAATCTCAGGATGCTGGCTATAATTCCAGGGAATTCCTTTGCTTCTCCTGTTTTCCAGATGGTGAAGCAAATCCTAGGGTGAAGAACACTGGAAAAGAAGTATGATAGAGTTTTGTCTGTAAGTTGGTTTTTACAGTTTTTATTTATCTAAAACATAAACATAAACAAAAATACACAAATCAAAATACAATATAACTGTGTTCCCCACCACTGTATATGGGACCTCTTGCTATAATCTTCTTCCTCCATTCATATTCTTCCTCTTCTTTTATTGTTCTCTTCTCCAAAACTGCATTGATTCTTCATTTGGAGCTTTCCCCTTTCCGCTTGTTAATACATATTCCAAGAATCTGCCCCATATTTCAGAGAAACTATTATTTTTCAACTCTCCTTTCTTAACCTTTAAATTACAAGTTAATTTATCATTTAGAGCTATATTCCATATTGCACTATACCATTCATCCATTTGAAATTCAGATTTTGATTTCCATTGCCTAGCTATTATTAATCTCGCTGCTGTTAATAAATTAGTTATCAGTTCTTTAATCATCTTATCATATTCCACATTCTCAAATATTGATGGTTTTAAAGGGTTGGACTTGATGGCCTTATAGGACCCTTCAAACTTCACTATTCTATGATTCTATGAAAGCCTGGAGACTTGGTCTGTTCCCAACTATTCCCAGGGCTCACTGGCTT